TTGGAAGGCTGAGGTGGGAGGATCACCAGAGCCCAGCAGGTCGAGGCTGCGGTGGCTGGGGGCGGCCACTGCATTCCAGTCTGGGTGACAGAGTGAGACTCCAACTAAAAAAAAAATAAAAAATAAAAAAATAAGTACTAGGAATCAAGAATCAAGGAAACCCTTGCCTGCAGCCATTTTAATCAGGGGAGGGACTCGATCATGTTTGCTTTTAAGTAAATGCCTTTGGCGGCATATGGGTTAGAAAGGACAGATCTGAAAGAAGGAAACCAGTTAGGAAATCCCAGAAAGAGTTCAAGTGAGAAGAGAAGCAATGAGGGCAGGAGCAGTGGGGATGGTCGGGGGGGTGACTGAGGGGGTTCAGGAGAAGAGTTGGTGAGTGATTAGATTTGGGGTTGGAGAAGAGAGAACAGCTTTGGGTAACTGATTTCTGATTTGGGTGACTGGGTGGATGAGATCCAGTCCACTGAGCCTGGATTCCAGGGTGGGGCTAAGACTTGAGTATATTGGAGTTGAGGTACTGGTGGCCATTCTGTTAAGACATTCAGTAAGTCCATGGGTATTATATCTAAACCTACGTACCCTGCTTCCTTTCCCTCCCTCCTCCCTTGGTCATGAGCCTTACGACACGTGGGTAGCTTTCTCTGGATCTTGCCTTGATTTTAGGCATTCATAGTTTCCACGCCTCTGTTCTACACTAGCACAATCCAGCTTTCTTGACTCGGGCCTCTGGTTTTCTTCTAAAAAGTCTTCTGACCAATGACAATTTCACTCTCCCTTTCCCCCATACCAGCATCATCAACCTACCTGGTCCAGACTGTCCTTCAGTCCCCAATCAATTTTGGGAAGTTCTGGAAGATCATGTATTTTGCTTTTTGTGCTACAATTACTCCCTTAGCAATTACTTCCTGGTTTTGCATTTGAGACCCCATAACTACCTCATGTATATTCTGCTTTTATATCTATTAGGATTTTTCAACTACTAGTAATAGAAACCTTGACTCAAACTGACTTCAACAACTAGGTGGATTTTTTTATTTATTTCATATAACCAGTAGTCCAAAGGTAGGATAGATCTGAGAATGGTTGATTTGGCGGTTCAGTAATGACATTGAGACCCAGATTCTGACCAGGTGCAGTGACTCACACTTGTAATCCCAGCACTTTGGGAGGCCAAGGTGGGAGGGTTGCTTTAACCGGGGAGTTTGAGACCAGCCTGGACAACATAGCAAGACCATCTCTACAGAAAAAATTTTAAAAATAGGCTGGGTACAGTGGCTCAAGCCTATAATCCCAGCACTTTGGGAGGATTGCCTGAGTCCAGAGGTTCGAGACCAGCCTGGGCAACTTGGTGAGACCTTGTCTCTACAATAAATCAAAAAATTAGCCGGGCGTGGTGGCACTTGCCTGTAGTTCCAGCTACTTGGAAGGCTGAGGTGGAAGGATTGCCTGAGCACAGCAGGTTGAAGCTGTGGTGGCCATGAACATACCACTGCACTCCAACCTGGGTGACAGAGTGAGACTCCAACTAAAAAAAGCTAGGCATGATGGCATGCACCTGTAGTCCCAGCTACTCAGGGGGTCAAGACTCCAGTGAGCCATGATCAGGCCACTGCATTCCAGCCTGAGCAACAGAGTAAGACCCCCCTCCCAACTCAAAAAAAAGACCCGGATTCTTTCCCTGCTATACTTAGGGCTAGCCTCATCCTCAGAACTGCATTTAAAATAGCAGCTCTAAATGTTATATTCAAATACAACAATGCCCTAAGGAAAAATAAAGAGTCTCGCCTCAGCCTTGCAGTGAATGTCCTTCCCACCAGTCTGATTGGGCTTGCTTCAGTCGTGTTCCCTCTCAGGACCAGCAAGTCACAGAGAGTGTTGAGCTCTGACTAGCTGCCACTTTTAGATTCACCTCTGTGGTTTAGGATGGGATCAGTTTTTTCCAGCATCCCAAGGCCTATACCTAAACAAAACCAGGGCTTCAGTTGGTAAAAAAGAAGGCAAGGGATGCTGGTTGGAGGCAATAGTGTCTATCTCAATTCTGGGGTTTGTTTTGTTTTTATGAAAGTAAGTGAAACCCTACAAAACGTTTTTGCAGTTCTTTAATGAAGAGAGAATATACCTAATTTGTTACTTTTTTATCCACAGCTCTTTCATTCCCAAGTTTATCACCCACCTCTTCAAGTGCAAGCCAATCAGCATGGTGGGAGCAGAACAGGTAAGGTGAACCCGTTATAAAGCCCTTGCCTTACAGCTTTTGTCAGAGATCAACACATACCCTTCTAGGACAGATCTACTCTGGAGGAATAAAATGGATGCTATCCCCTGTTTGGGCACAAGTGGAAGCACAAATCTGGGGATATTATAATAACCTGGCAGCTTTCTTCATTCATTCATTTTTTTTTTTAATTTGGTTTGAGCACCTACTGAGTACCATGCATTGTTCTGGGTGCAGTGTATATCATAGACAACACTATAGAAAAGGTCTCTCCAGATTGCTTAAATTGCAGTTTAAAGAAGATTATATAACTCAAGACATTTCCATAAATCCTGCTCTTCCACCAAATGAGTTGTCTTGGTAGAGACTCGGCTCTCTCCAGCCCAGTGCTTAACCCTCACACTGGCCTCTTGCTGTGCTGCCCCGAGTTATGCCTCGGTAAGATGACAAGGTAGCACGTGCCACAGCACAGTGTGGGTCTTGTGAAGAAACAAAGCTGGATATAGAATATCTGTGAATAGCAAGAGCTCTTGAATCTGACAAGTGCAGTGTATTTTTATCCTCTTTTTATAGCGATTGTCATTCCTAGGTAATTAAAGGGCAGTACATTGTGAACATTAAGGTCATGGGCTCTGGAATCACAGAGCCAAATCCTGTCTCAACAACCTAGCACCTATGTGTCCTTAGACAATTTGCTTAATCTCCCAGCACTTCAGTTTCCTCATCCATGAAATGGGGATAATCATGGCACCACCTCACAGAGTAGTTGGGAGGATTAAACAAGAAAATGCACATAGGCCAGGCGCAGTGGCTCATGCCTATAATCCCAGCACTTTGGGAGGCCAAGGTAAGAGCATTGCCTGAGCCCACGGGTTCAAGACCAGCCTGGACAACTTGGGGAGACCTCATCTCTACAATAAATCAAAAAATTAGCCGGGCATGGTGGCACGTGCCTGTAGTTCCAGCTACTTGGAAGGTTGAGGTGGAAGGATTGCCTGAGTTCCGCAGGTTGAGGCTGCGGTGGTTGTGAGCATGCCACTGCACTCCAGCCTGGGTGACAGAGACTCCAACTAAAAAAAAAAAAAAGAAAGAAAGAAAATGCACGTAAAATGCCTGGCGCAAGTCTGACCCATAGTACGCCCTCAATAAATGCCAACTCTTAATCATTATAAGCTTTTCAAGCCCAGGGACATGACTTTGTTTCTGTTTTCTTGCTCATCTCCCCTAATGTCTCTTCTCCATGCAGCTTGCATAGTAACATCCCGTTTGCCACCAGCAGGACAGCTTACCAGCTTTAGCCAGAGTCAAAGTGTTTTCAAAAAACTTCCTGGGAGGTTGTGTGGATTCAGACAGTGGCCGTGCCGGAGTGGAGCATTTCATTGTTTTCAAATTCTTGACCCTTGCATGCCAAAAACACAGAACTAATTCCCTCTACTGGAAACAGCAGAATAATGTCCTAACATGTTGTCTCTAGTTTCATTAGCACATGCTTACTGGGAATTCATTCCACTCACCTTGTTATAGTGTGTCATCAGAGAGAACGTGCAGTGATTACAATCTGTGTGTCTGGGAGAAGCTTTAGTGTTCTCAGTTACTATGTTCCTGTCTCCAGACTTGATGAAGCCACTGGAACACAAAGGTGACTCATTGGGAGCAGGTTTTCATGACTTTGCAGCTTTGCCCATGTCTTGCTAATTGATTTAGTGTCTAATAACCATGTTACTTTCGTTTGTCACATACATCCATTATCATATCTATTTTCCTCAGATTTTTTCTTCTTTGAAAGAATATTAGAATATGGTTGGGCACAGTGGCATGCACCTGTAATCCCAACACTTTGGGAGGCTGAAGTGAGAGAATCTCTTGAAGCCAAGAGTTTGAGGCTGCAATGAATTGTGCCACTGCACTCCAGTCTGGGTGACAGAATGAGACTCTATTAAAAATAAAATTAAATAAATAAAAAGTTTAAAAACGGTGAAATGAATTTTTTAAAAAAGAATATTAGAGTAATCAGCTCAGCCCCAAAGCCATATCTTCAGAAAAATATTAATTTGGCTATGTGCTGTAACTAAAGTTTTACTTTATCAGACACCAGGAAGACACGAGTGGGTAACATTGGAGTGTGGATCTCCACAATCCCAGCCCAGGTGAGAACTACAATGCAGCATGGGCCTTGAAGAATTCTCACATGAAGTTTGGGTTTAGCTGGTCTGTGCTCTGCCTGAGTTTCTGGACCTGAAGCCCAGGCAGCATGTAGCTGCAGGTGTGTTCACTCAGGCAACAGAACCATAGAATCAAGAAGCTAACAAAGAGATGTTCAGAGACTGAAACAGATTCTGCCTTAAGTCATGGAGTGGCTGTAATCCAAGCTTTAATAAAAGCTGTGAAATTCATAGCTAAGATTTAGCCTAATTTCAGCTGCGTCTGCATTGCCACAAAGGCACTAGATCCTACATTTAGCTTATGCTTTAATACTTACACTGAAAATGGGAAAGGAGACGTTGCCCTGCTCTTTATTCTCTTTTTGATTACTATATAGAGTGAGTTATTTATCTTTGGGCCCCAGAGTCCTCTTGAGCGATTGCAAGGGCACATGGAGCTGAACCATACCGGTATTTGTAATGCTTCTTGCTAGTTTGTGATTTCCAGAGAATCTTGTGGGATTTGCAGGGTCATTTGTTAGTCTTATGACTGCGTTCATCTATGAATGAGCACACACTGGAAATGGAATTCATTCTCCCAAACTTACCATAGAGAAAACAGGCCAGGATTGTGTAGGGAAAAGGAGACATGGGATCTCTTCCCCACACTGTTGTTAATGGCCCCTGTGGTCATGAACAGTTGCTTCCCTGCTCTGGGCTCTGTCTCTTCATGTTTAAGTAAGAGCACTGAACCAGATACTCTCAAAAGCCCCTTCTAGAGCAATCACACCGGGGCGTCTGAAATACTTTGAGCAATATATTGCGCATCTACAAAGCGATTTTCTTTCCCTTTTTATTATCTATATATATTATTCATATATACCATGTTGACTTTGTTTTTAGATTGTGGTAAAATACTTATTAAATTACCAACTTAACTTTTCTTTTCTTTTTTTTTTTTTTTTTGAGTTGGAGTCTCACTCTGTCATGCTCCCTGGCCACCGCAGCCTTGACCTGCTGGGCTCTGGCGATCCTTCCGCCTCAGCCTTCCAAGTAGCTGGAACTACAGGCACGCACTACCATGCTCGGCTAATTTTTTTGATTTATTGTAGAGATGAGGTCTCGCCAAGTTGCCCAGGTGGGTCTCGAACCCGCGGGCTCAGGCAATTCACTCATCTCGGCCTTCTAAAGCACAGAATTGCAAACTGAGCCACCAAGCCCAGCCTTAACTTTTCTTTTTTTTTGAGTCAGAGTCTCACTCTGTCATTCAGGCTAGAGTGCAGTGGCACAGTCACATTTCACTGCAGCCTTGACCTCCTGGGCTCAGGCGATCCTTCCACCTCTACCTCCCAAGTAGCTGGGACTATAAGCATGTGCCACCAAGTACGACTCATTTTTTAATTATTATGTAGAGAAGAGGTCTTCCTGTTGCCCAAACTCCTGGGCTCTCAAGCAGTCCTCCTGCCTTGGCCTCCCAAAGTGCTGGGATTACAAGAATGAACCACTGCACACAGCCACCTTAACGATATATTTTTTTTGAGTTGGGGTCTTACTCCATCGCCCAGGCTGGAGTGCAGTGGCATCGACCTGGCGTCGACCTGCTGGGCTCAGGCGATCCGTCTGCGTCAGCCTTCCAAGTAGCCAGAACTACAGGCACACACTACCACACCTGGCTAAATTTTTATTTATTTACTTATTTATTGTAGAGGTGATGTCTCGCCAAGTTGCCCAGGCTGTTCTAGAACCTGTGGGCTCAGACAGTCCCCTCACCTCGGCATCCCAAGTAGCTGGCTGGGATTAACAGGCTTGAGCCACCGCACCCGGCCAACTATTTTTAAGTGTTACATTTCAGTAGCAGTAAATACAGACACATTACTGTGTAATCATCACCACCATCACCTCTAGCTCTTTTGTATTTTCCCCACCTGAAACTGCAAACTCATTAAACAATAACTCTCCATTCTGTCCTCCACCTTTTTGTCTCACTGAATTTGACTGCTCTAACTACCGCATTTGTCCTTTTGGGACTGGCTTATTTAACTTAGCATAATGTCCTCAAGGTTTCTTTTAAGTAGGAGTCTCACTCTGTCGCCCAGCCTGGAGTGTAGTAGCATGCAAACAGCCACCACAGCATCAGCCTGCTGGGCTCAGGCAATCCTTCTGCCTCAGCCTTCCAAGTAGCTGGAACCTCAGGTATGCATCACCCTGCCCAGCTAATTCTTTTATTTATCGCAAAGACATCTCACCAAGTGGCCCAGGCTGGTCTCAAACTCCTAGACTCATGCAGTCTCTCACCTCCACCTCCCCAAAGTGCAGAAATTTCTTTATTTTTAAGATTGAATAATAAGCCGGACTCGGTGGCTCAGCTTGTAATCCCGTGCCTTGGGAGGCTGAGGTGAGTGGATTGCCTGAACCCGCGGGTTTGAGACCCACCTGGGCAACTTGGTGAGACCTCATCTCGACAATAAATCAAAAAATTAGCCAGGTGTGGTAGCGCGCGCCTGTAGTTCCAGCTACTTGGAAAACTGAGGCAGAAGGATCGCTAGAGCCCAGCAGGTCGAGGCTGCAGTGGCCAGGAGCAGCCACTGCACTCCAGTCTGGGCAACAGAGTGAGACTCCAACTCAAAAAAAAAAAAAAAGATTGAATAATAGTTTATTGAATGTATATGCTACATTTTGACCATATTTGATTTGTAAACTCAATTCAAAACCATCTAACAAAAAATATCTAAAGCGAATTTTAGATATATATTTTTAAAGACCAAACACCACAGAGAGAGAGAAAGAAAATCAGGTAGCATGTTCATCATGGAAAAATGAGAAAGTAGGATGGTTATTCATTCTCAGATACACTTCTAG